TAAGTCAGAATCTCCAAAAAGACGTCGGCGTTCGCGTTCTGAAAGTTTCTCTCCTGAGTCACGGCCATCGTTCGGCTCAAAAAAAGCTGTTGAGCGAAGTCCTTCCCCACATTTGTACTTCTTTCTAATTGTTTTGTTCCACATGAGTGAAAATTCAAGCTTTTGCCATGTAAATTATTTAGTGTTGCTCCTATGGGACCTCCTCCTCGTATCAACTCTGCAAACAAAGGAGCTCAGTTGCTTGCGAAAATGGGTTGGCAGGGCGGTGGACTTGGCTCTGAACAGCAGGTTGCTCATCATCTTAAATGAAATCGTCCAGCCCTTTTGCCTGATTGTCGCTTCATTTAATTTTTTCTTTTTAGGGAATAGAAGAACCAATCAGCGGCGGTGAAGTGCGAGATAAAGCAGATCAGTTTCGCGGTGTTGGGTCAAAACCAGATATGTTCGAAGAATACCGTCGGCAGATGAGTGGATATCACAGGAATCGGAACAGAAATAGGCTTGATTAAGAGTATCTCATATACAGAACATTGGACTTTCATGCTTGATCTTCATGTAATTGTTTGATAATTTATTGTTGTCGTCGAAGAAAATTATGACTAAACTTGTAATTCCTTCCTTACTCACAATGGAGAATGAAAAATCAGGACACCAGAATGGTGGAGTTTTTGGATAGCGTCTGGCCAAAAACAATCTTTACTTGCAGCAAATGGCGATTTCCTACTGGATATTAAATTCCGTTTGAATTACCACAATCATTGATGATTCCATCTAATTGGCCATCTTTTTACCAAATATTACCTGACATAATTGTATTAGTGGGCTTCGGAAGAGCGACGCGATGGGAAGTTACATCTCACACTGTAAAGGCACGTTAGGCTTCAAAATTAATGCCTTTGTTCTGAAGCGTGGGTTCATATTAAGAGCCAATGTTCAGTTGTGAAAAGGAACTACCTGCCGATGTGCCTTTAGGAATTTTTTTGCATTGTGGGCTACCGTAACATTTGTCCAAAGTTCAATGAAATACAACAACATAAAATCAATTATTTACAACACGTAAATACAAATACCTCAGAAAATTTACTGAAAGCTCTACTTTTTAGCACCTGGGATGTGTCATGAGTGCGGTCCGGAGCCTACACTTCTAATTATAATTAATATCTATCCTCGTCACTTATGAGGTGTGAGGTTAAAGTCATTCAGATACAGGCAGGGTCTCAGAATCCAGTAGGGGTGGCATGGGAATGAGAACGGGATCATTCGTGACTGAAAGTGACGGATTTGGAACACGCACAGTTGTATGTTTGATAAACTCGTGCTTCCTTAGAGCTGAGCTGAAAATGTTCATCTTAGAAGTGAAGATATCTCCTGTTGTCCAGTGAAATGGCTATTGGTTTTTTCAGAAGAATTAGAACTCGAAAATATAGCTTATCCTTCCTATGATTTAGTGTGTCAACCGTTTCTTATGAACCAACAACTGAATTAATCTATCTAGTTTGTCATTAGCGTCCTCACCTGTCACGGAAATCCTTAAAACATATACCACAGCTGTACGGTCTTTCGCCAGTGTGAGTCCTAATATGAATCGTCAGTGCCTGTGACTGTGTAAATCCTTTACCACAATACCCACAAGAGTAAGGACGTTCTCCGGTGTGCGTCCTTTCATGTATGTTCTGAAACCAATAAAGAAACCATGAAATCTATGAGCTATAACTTTCCTGTCAGCGATTCTTAAAAAACTTGTCGCGAGTGAGGACTTGTAGACCAAATATTACTACATCAGCTTAAATGCGTTTTAATTTATAGCATGACAAAAACAGCAATACCCAGTAGTAGGAAGCTACAGAACTATTTAGGATGGAAAAATTTTTTCAGCAGTAAATTCATCATGTTCAGGCAAGAAGTTAAGAACAACGAAAGATGAGGTGAATGACAATAGGGAGGGGGGGGGGAAGGCAAAAATAAAAAATTTTTTCTTCACTTTATCCCGTCGATGATGAAACATTTTTTCGCAATAAGAACACTGGTAACGCAGTGGCCTTTCTGAAGTAACCGCAACCCCTTGCATCCGCGCCAAACACTGCCGCTGAAATCACCACTTTCTCCAAAATATAGTAAATTTTTAAACAGAAAAATTTTGCAATTAATCTTATTATTCATATACCTGATGGCCTAACATGTCAGACTCTGTTCTGAACCATTTGCCACAAAATGAACAAAAATAACGCCTTCCGCTAGCATGCAACTTCAAATGAATGTTATAATTGGTCTGTCGAGCAAAGCACTTTGTACAAATAGGACATTGAAATGGCTTCTCTCCTTAAAAACAAACACCTAAAGTAATTCTTGAGGTAACTGTATTGAGAAGAAAATTTACGAAGTGCAGACTTTGCAAAAAAGTAAATGTAACAACTGCCCATCCTACTAATGTTACTCATTTCTCGTTGATGGTTTCATATCTGTAGTGCAATTAGAAACAACAGACTACTAATGTCTTCAAAGAAATGTAACTTATTCCTTTTTCCTATGGCCTAACTTAAATGAAAACAAACGGACAAATGAATAAACCTGTATGAATTCTCTCATGAATTTGTAGAGAGTTTTTACTGTAGAAAACACGGCCACAAAATGGGCATGGCTTGGGCTTTGCTCCACTATGTGACATCTGGTGCTCCCTTAACCTGCTTTTGGTAGGAAATGTTCTACCGCAAACAAAACATTTATTACCCTTGAATACAATGTTATCATTCAGACCATATGTTTCAGGATTAGTGCTACTAAGTCCTCCTAAAAAGAAACTAAGCATATGACATTGAAAAAAGCAGAAATAAGTCTTAAAAAATTAAAAACTTCAAAGAATAACTATAAATGCTTTAATCGGCTAACACTTCGAGTATTTTGCGGACTACAAAAACTTTAAAACATACCGTAATTTGATGTCCGGTCACACACTCTGAAATTTAACTTTTTATTGCCAACGAGTACTGAAAAACGCCTCAGAGGATTTTCACCATTCCACTTACGAGCTGTAGTCGAAGTAGAAGGCTGAACTGGATCACTACCACCGTGCGAATTGCCGACCTATAAAAAATTAACATGTAAACCACCAAACAATAAGTCAGACGTTACGTATGAGAAAAAGAATTGCAAATTAGAATTTTTAAATGCCAATATAAATTTCTTAAAATGTTAAGAAAGAGGTTGTGCCACAAGTACAAATGCAATACTATATTTCAAAAAAACCAAAATTTAATCAAATAAAGAACATCCAGCGCACACTAATCAAAATAACTGTTTATTTGAACAGATTTAAAGAAACAGCGACTAAAGTCTTCTGATTCAACCTGTAGAAAAGAGGCCTCTTGGATCAATACCGGACAAGAAGAATCGCTCTGACTGTCATTCGAAACCTTATCCCCCTAAACGTAGGAGGAAGTTAATGTTGGTTTTTGAAACAGAAGGAAAGAAAACTTCAATCACTCACGGTTGAGCAGGATGACCCTTGCACTAAAAGAGGACATGACAAACCAACTGTTTCTTCCGAAGGACTAGAAGCCTAAAATCAGAAAAATAAAAATAACTTTTCTTGAAAAAGCAAACTACCAAATCAAAAAAAGTAAAAAAATTTTGACTTCAGAGTAAATCACCTTAAAATTATTACAGTAAGTCGACCTACAACAAAAATTTTGTTACAAAAAAGTTTTTCAATTAACCTATACCGAGGAATTTGGTGGGTAGCGACTTTCCAGTTTTTCAGCGTCTCCCTCAAATGCTAATTGTGGTTCTTCTTCTAAAAATCAGTTACCTAAAAGTTTCCGATACAACCATTGACTGCATCCAAAAAAAAGTAATAACTTCCATCGTAGGACCGATTGTCATATTTTTTTAAAGCCACAAAGCGGCAATACGGCGGAGAGCAAAAAAAAAAAAAAAAAAAAATTGGCCCCATATCAAAAA